CCCTCCTAACAGGAGTCGGTCTCTAGATTGAGAAAGCCACAAACTGAAAACCAGTCTTTGTGAAATCCAGCAAGCCCCAGAGTCACTCCATGGTGTGAAGGAAGTAGGCGGAAAGTCACATTAGGCGGGGACACTAGAAGCCATCCTGCCATGGCTTTAATCCCACCATGGAGTTCAGAGGCTCTGTCTTTCTCAGGGCACTGTGGGCAGTGGCATAACTAGAATATTTACTTGTCCAAATTGTCTCTTCAGTCAGTGAAACCAAATTCATCTACTTCCCAGAGAGCCAGGTCTTCAAAAGACTTCTATTTTCCCAGTCTGTTTTTCTCCTTCTCTCATCAAGGTCAAAGGAAAAGTTAGCTAACATGTTAGATGGTTCCCCCCGGAAGCAGACTGTGGGATAAAGATTCTAGTATAAGTAGTTTATGTTGGAGTTGACCCCAGGAAACACTGGTAAGGAGTGAAGAATTGAGACAGGAAAGAAAAGGTAGCTAATAAAAGGGTCATTAATGAAGTTAACACTGAATCTTAATTCAACAGGGAAGACATAAAATGCTCATCTCAACGATATCTCACCTGAGATGCAAGAGAACCTGGGGCATTTATACAGCAGTGCCTGGCTGTGGGTTGCTGGGTGGTGGTACTACCTGCCAACCCTGGGTGTGAGCTTTTCCAGCTAGAGACGGCCCTCAAGCAAAAGAATGCAGGTGAATGCAGGTGCCTGCAGCTGGCAGTCCCCACGCTGCGAAGTGCTGAAGGCAGGGGTTACGCGTAGGGCACAAGCAGCCTCTGCTACAGCTACAATTGGGATTATTTCCAAAAGGGTAAACCGGAGGCAACCGTGGTAGATGATACGTATCACAGAATACAAGGTTGAGTGCTTTTCCACCAAATTACCCTTCGAAAAAGAGGATGCTACCTTATATTTAAGTCCTGAAAGTTCTCATATTTTGGGACACTGTCAATTACTGTGTCTTAATCTAAAACAGTAAAAGACTTTCTGGTAAAACACAGTAATCTGAAAGGACCTCAACAATGTTCAACTTGGATGCTATTAAAGGTCAAACAAAGAGATTTAATACAGATTTGGTTATTGAGGGCAATGAGGGTTTCAACTTCAAGTGGTGGATGGCAAAGTAGCTCAGAAATGGTGGGGGTGGGCTGTGTGGATAAGCCAGAATCCTCAGATATGAAAACACAAATGAAGAAACATAGGAAATGCTTGTCTTGACTAGTAATTACAGGAACTGAAAAGAAAACAATATGTGCACTCACAATTTGATATTGGGTGGATCTCAGAGACATTGACATATTTATATACAACTGATGGCACTAAACTTAACACAGGCCTTCCAGAGAGCATTTAGTCATTCATGTCAGAAACCTTAAAACTAAACCTCTTGTCCTAGAAATTGTATGCCTAGGAACTTATCAGAAATAAGTAACTGAAATGAAGAATGATAGCAAATAATAATAATAGTAATAAATATTTATACAGCACACACTAGAGCAGAGTCCAGCTGCTCTAAATATTTTATATCGGGGTTCTCAACTGGGAGCGAGTCTTCCCTCTAGGAAACACTTGGCAATGTCTGGAGACATGTTTGTTTATCAGAACTGGTGGGTAGGAGCCAGGGATGCTGTCAAAACATCTACAACGCACAGGACAGCTCCCACAGCAAAGATTTACCTGGCCCCAAGTGGCAAAAGTGCCATGGTTGAGAAACCCTGCTTTGTATCTATTCACATATATAATCCTCACAACGATCCTACGGTAAGCATTTTTATCATCACCATTTTACAGATCAATAAAGGTAATTTTTCAGTGCCCTCTTATCCATAATGTTAAAAAACTAGGAATAAACAAAATTAAAAAAAAACAGGGAGTTAATAAATTATAAGATAACTACCTAACAGAAACGTAGAAAATATTTATGAAATACTATAAAATACCAGGACAAAAAATTAGAAGTGTGAGTTGCAATAATTTTAAGATATGAACATTGAAACTAAATGAGAAAATAAGACATGAAAGTTACTATTGTGTTAAGATGGTAGAAATAGTAACAGCTATTTCTTCTTTTCTGACATTCTTTCATATTACTGTGATTTTTAAAAGATGAAACACTCAACAATGGAGATAAGGAATGTGGAGTTTTCTTCAAAGAATGAAAGTTGTTATGAAATAAGGAATATCCTATTTTAACAACGCAAGAGTTAACAACCTAAGAAGATAGTTAATATCAAGAGATTTAGGAAGAAAGATTTTCATGGAACAGCACCAAACATTAGTGCTTTAAATTCTAAAGTCATAATACTCCTGCTCAGGGTGAAAATGAATAAGCTAGATTTTATATCTACTTCTCTATCTTTTACTTATTTCACATCTGTCACCTAAAGAGGATGGGCAAAAAGAAACAAGTTTCAATTTAGCTAAGTCTGATACATTTTAGCAGCTCTATTATATAAGGCAATTTAAACTATCATTTTAAATGTTTTAATAATGGTAATAATAATATTAGTAGTAACATTATTTGTTGCTGTTTTTAACAACATGTATTGAAAGCTTCCTATAAGGATTACTATGCGACCTAATCCCCAAAACATCTGTATGATGTGTAAGTGCTTTCACGGTCCCCATTTTTCAGCAGAGCTCACATTTTAAATTAAGGAACTTGCCCAAGGTGTACAGAGCCAGTAAGGGGAGGCACCTGAATTGACATAAAGGCAGTCTGACTCTGAAGCCCAACTGCTCCAATCAAAATATACGTGTGCTGGGGACAAGATGGGGGTGAGGGAAAGACAGCCTCTTCTTCCCTTGCTCCTCTCCCTACAGCAACGAACTGATCATATCTGACACATGGGATGTAAAATCTGCCTTTTGAAGGACGTTTACTAATTTGAGTAGACATAACAATGATTTAACCAACAAGATCTCTTATTTTTAAACAATTTTAAATTTCTAAAATTAACATTTATTATTTCAGATTTAAATATTGTAAATAATTATTTGTATAATCAATCAGTGTTGACAAATAAATATTTGCCAAAAACAGCTAAGTGGATTCAACGTAGAAAAAAAATAGTAATAACGTTGCCAGAGTTTTCACAAGAAGTCCTAAAATCAGTGATTCTAATATGAGGGGATTCCATCTGCTCCTCATATCCTATTGGATATTCTGTTCTCACAGATTTGAGGATTAAAAAAAAAATAAGTCTATATCCTGTCAAAGGAAAATAGGTATCTTTGACTAAGGAAAATAGGTATCTTTGACTAAGGGCACTGTCTGTTTAAACAACTTAGCATCTGTTTCTAGCATGCTGAAGAGGAATGGGTAGGAAGGTTAAATACAAAACACTATTTGTAGATGTTAAATTATTGGGCTTCAATGTCTCTAGTCTAGTCTCACCTCCCCAGAGCATATATTATGAAATGAAGTCACTGAAAACAAAATGCTGTGATCTTCCGAGATCCCTGAAGCGAAGATTAACTTAACAAATAACAGGGATCAGGATACTAATAACATATCATCATGGGGAAATGAGGGGAATTTGGCATGAACCAAAGCACAGGTTCCTACGATGGCTGAGCCACGACCAGCTCACAGCAAGGCTACAGGTTGGTGCAAAGGAGGCGAGAGGAACAACTGGTCTCCAAATCCCACACCGTCCACGAGCCATCTGAGTCCCCCCTTTCATGGGGCTACAGTGTCAGAAAGGAAGATGACAGATGCGGAAAGCGGAAAGTCTCCTACGTGGATAGAGCTTAGGTTTCTTCCCACCACACGTATGTGCCTCTGACAAACTGTGAGCCAATCTTATCAAAAATATAGCCTTATTTATAATATATGTGGAGATTTCACTATATAAAGGAACCCTGATGTGTCTTTCTTAGCTGTATTTTTTAAACATCAGCAATAACTGAAGTCAAGGAAGGTACCACCACCACCAGCGACAACAGCAAACATTCACACGTCACTTACAACATCAGTAACGGCTGCTGTAACTCCCTTCGGCCGGGGCTTTTTGACTGGGATGGATTCTGCCCGCTTAGGAGCCATTTTTAGGGTATTTAGATATTGCAGAATTGACAAACACATTCACCAGCCGTCATCTCTTCTGATTATTTCGACATCAGTCTGATTGGCAAGGGCTCATGCTATACCAGTTGTTAAATATTTTTCATAGTATACTTTGGCCTGAATATACTCTAAATAGTTAAAACAAATACCATACCTAACAAAACTTGAGATGTCAGTAAGCTTTTTCATTAATATGGAGTACTTCAGATATATTAACCAAACATCAGCCTTTGACACTTTACAGGCCCCAGGAGGCCAATGACACCTGAAAAAAAATCTGTTTCAGAATCTAATCGTCAAAGGGACTGGCCCACTTGGTTTGTGGATATACATGCAACTGCGACTACATGTAAGAATTCAGACGCAAAACCCTAACTTAACGGAAGACTTCGTACAAGTTATAAGTATTATTTCATCTATAAATCAAAAACTTTTAACAATAACTCTTAAGGAGGACTTTGGTTAATGCTATTAATAATAACTTAATGAATAGTAACATATCAGTATTGGTTCATTAACTGTGACTTAGTAAATGTCACATAGTAACATAAGATGTCAACAAGGAAGGGCGCAGAGAGCGGGGTCCACAGGAGCTCTCTGTTCTATCTTTGCATTTAGTTTCTGTAAATGTAAAACTAACCTAAAATAAAAGTTTGCTTCAAAAAAAGTAAAATACAAATAATAAAGTTACAGTATATTTTTTCTGGGCAGGAAAATAAGAAAAGCTAATTCTGGTACATCCATATTTACATTTTCAGTCTCACACAAGTGTTGATTTACAAAACAATAAAGAAAAATGGTCAAGAATCATCCAGGTGGCTTCTGACTGTGCTGCTGGATTCCACATGCACATCTGCTTCCCATACATGTTTTACTGGAATTCTACCTCATTTACTGAACAAAAACAAAAACAAAAACAAAACAAAACAAACAAACAAACAAAACTTGATCAACTACAATGTGCCAGGAGCTAGGGTAGGTCTGAGAATTCAAAGACAAGTAAGAATAAGTCTCATCTTCAACCTCACTGTCTTAAAGCTGAGGCGCTCAAACAGGCAAAATGACCACTTGGAGAGATTATTAAAATGCAGCACTAGACCACACTTTCAAAAACACTGATCCATAATATGGGTCATAAATGGTGGGACAATGAACACTTCTAGGGGTCACTGAATTTGGTCCTGGCAGGGAAGCTGTGGGAGGAACAGAGGAGAGGACACCAGCCCATTCCTGGAGGTCAGGAAAGAATTCCTGGAAAAGGTGTCTTTGACCAACCACAGGAGTGAATTGTTTTTGATCTAATAGCAGAATAAACCTGGGGACACACCTGCTTAGAGCAGGGAAGGCTCAGTACCAAGAACATTTACAGCTTCTGAAAGTAACTGAACGCTGGCTACAAAGTACCAACTCCCGCAGCTGGAAACCAGCAGTGCACATGAGCCTGACTCAGGCCACTTCACGCCAGAGAAGGCGGCTCTTTTTGGTTGAACTTGATTGCAGATAAAATCTGCAAGCAGGTTTCTAGAGCCTGATTGGATGTTGCAGCCCAGAAAGCCGTACTGTCTCCTCTCACTTGTGAAGTCATTTCACTGGAAGAGCTTTTTCATGTGCTACTAGTTTTTTCTATTTTTGCCTACTTGATGAGCAAAATATTATGTCATACTGACCCAGGTTGCTTGGCTTTGAGATTTTTTTTTTTTTTTGCTCTGTATTTTTTTGTCTCCTCCACAATCAGCCTGCCAACATGATTGTCAGTGTGTCAAATTTTTAGCAGCATTCAGACCCTCTACCCTTCTAATTTACTGCCCTAGATCTCAAAACCAAACACTTCAATCTGAATTAAGAAAACAGTCACTAAAATGAGGACCTAAGGCAGTTCACTGATGTCCCCACATGGCACACATGTGCAAATGTCCATCATAATCTATGTGCAGCCTGCAGGGCATACAGTGGTCCTGGGCTGCTGGTGAGCAGAATCATTTAGTCTAAAACCTGATTTAAGATACCCCAGCAATGACAAGAAGACCCAGAAAACAGCAGGTCTAGATAAGTATTCTCTCAATCATTTATTATTGGCTCCTTTTCTTTCTTTCTTTCTTCTCATTCTTAACCTGTGTGACTGGGTTTAGGCTGACAGAAAACTGAGCCCTATTCTATGCAAGAAACAAAGATGAGCAATTTTAGAAAATTACAGGGAAATCAATGCTTACTTTCTTCCTGATACAATCCCAATATAATAAGAATTGTTCATCATAAAACACCAGGCAAATATTACCTACTGAATGACTTCCAAATTATGGGAAGTAAATGTCAATTCTTTATTACAGTAATCAAGAGGAAGATTTACCTTCAACACCATTCATTTTTATTTAGATTTTATTATTGAGAGAAATTCTGCAGCATAAGGCCAGCAACAAACTCAGTAAACACACAGAATGCAACCTCAATGACTTTTTAAAATGATGCTCAGTTCATTTAGCCACAGACAAATTCTCATCATAAAAACAAAAGACTCTTCCTGTAACAGCAGAAGAAATGGATAGGAAGGAGGTGGATGGATAAGAAAGATCCAGTGGGTCAGTCATGGAGGGGAAAATGAGAATTGCTTTCTCAACACACTTGCAAAATATCCACACCTCCCCAGCATAAAATCCATCACTACAAAATCCACCATGATTTTTTAAATGCATGTGAGCAAAGATAGAATGTAGTGATTATTTTAGAGAGTTCACATGGGCAGAGATAAAATATAATAAGTATTTCATTTTATGATGTTTCTTTTCTCCTCCAAATGTCCTATAAATCACTGCCCCCAAAAAAACTCACACATAAACTAGACTTTTCCTTTGCTTGCTGTACCGCTGGTTATTCAGAGTTTGACAATAAATATTTAACTAACTAAACGGTTCTCACAGGATCATCAGATATCAGACTGCTTGGGTGGGTTGGAGTTATCCAGATAGAAAATGAATGTGATGGGGAAATAAATTTCTTCTGTCAAACACAATCCAGAAAAGGAGTTATTGCCTAAGAGTTGAAGCAAAAGCTAAAAGCACAGAACCCAGGAGTCGAATATGAAAACAGGCCAGGTCAAAAGCAGGAGACTCACTCTGAGAGCAGGTTCCGAGCAAGGGGCTGGCTGGGCCACCGGGTCAGTGTCGGTGTGACAGGAGGAGCTGTTTCTCAGTGGGCCAAGTGGATGCTATCAGATGAGGCATTTCCATTGATGTCACGCAAGTGACCTAAAAGACTTTGTGCAAGATGCCTTTCGTTCAACTGCTGTGTAGCCCAGCCTCTAAGAGTAATTGGATCAATGGCATCAAGCTGAAATCTATCATGTTTCCAGACCATTATGACAGTTTTCCTCTATCTGGAGAAACAGTCTTCTCTACAGACTAAATAAAGCTTTTATATAAGGCACCAAAAGGCAAACAGGTCACACAGCACAGAACCACACGGGAGGCTGTGTGCCCTCTCCCTTCGCCTGCCTTGACTGACTGCAAACAATAAAAACCTTTCTGAACAAATGAAAGTGAACTTTGAAACCAGCAAAACGTTTCAGGCACCCTGCCACAAAGATATTCTCCGAGCAACTGCAGGCCATTTGCTGTCCTGTATGGCTCTAAATTTCTTGCCACGTACTGGCTCTGTGGTTAAATGAGCCCAGCACAGAATTACAGCTTCGATGCTTTGACGTGAAAAATCACTAACAGATCTCGATCGAAGGATGAGAAAAAAACTGTAAATTTTCGTTGTGATGATGCACATGGGGGCCTCATTTAAGCCAATGTCTTATCTTTATTTAACATCTAAACTGTATTTTTTTCCTGCTTTAACTTGAAAAGCTCCACTAAGATAAACAGGCAGCATTTTGTACAATCCTTCCTGCAATCAGCCAAGTAATGCACAAGGGGTCTTAAATGCCTACACCTTTAAAGACTTGCAACAGCCCCATTGTCTCCATTTTGCAAGAGAGGAAAGTGAGACTCAGGATGCAGCATAGCTGGGATTCAACTGCAAGTCTAACTCCAGAGTCTCTCTCTGATAACTCTAACATGTGCCCCAAATTACACAGAAAAGGGGTGATTCTAAAAATAACTCTGGGATTTACCATCCCTATGAAAATAAGTTATCAATACGTGAAAATGTAACAAAATAGTGTGGGCACCAAAATAATTACCAGTCTCAGTACAGTTTAGGATGATGACAGATTCCACAGCCAAAAGAGAGAGAAAAAAAACACAGAATCCAAATCCAAAGACTGAAACTTCTGTCGCAGAGATCCAGAAATCACGCCTACCTTTTAGGTTGGAAGTTAACCATCTTAAAACTCAAAATTCAAAGAAGTCCTTCAAAATCTGCCATTCTGTACATTTAAACCCTTAAAGCAAGGGTTTAAAAGTCAGAGATCCAAACAGCAGAGGGGAAAAAAGGCAATATATGAAAAGGCAATTTATTGATAAAATTGCCCAAAGAGCCAACAAACTTATGCAGAGAAGTACAGTTTCACACAGACACACAAAAAATGCAAGTTCATACAATTATATATTGCTTTTCATCTCTCTCCCCTTCATGGATGGCAGTTTAACAGTAAAAGCATATTTGCCCCAGAAATTATCCAGATAGACTAAAATATGTGTGCACAGGTCATTTTTTCATATTTTTTTTTAAAACGGGATACCCTGTGACAGGATGGTTTCAACTTTAAAGAGAAAAACTGTGCTTCTGGGAATTTAAACATAAAGCTGTACACCTGTATTTTCAGAGAGAGAAGTGTGGCAGGACAAACAAAACAATAACAGTGATTATGGAAGGCGAGACATTTTGACCGTTTTCCACTTTGTGTAATTTTTATTCTGCATCGAATTTTTTTAAGAAGGAGACTGATTATCTAAATACATAACTAAACATTAGATTTGGGATCAAAAATGTATCACAGTAAAATGCTTCATTAACTTGAGAGCCACCCCACAGAGAGGGCCACACTAATTCCTGCCCAGCTCACAATTCCACTTCAGTACTTTGCGGTTTGCACAGAGAGTTTGACCTGTGTTCCCTTAGCCCAGGAACTAAAATTTCACTTCGTCACAATGGCAGGACTGGGCTATGACTCATCTTCCTCTGCAAAACAATGAAAGTTCTAGTTCAGTGGGAAAAAACTACTTGAGCTGCCAGTTCACTGGACTGTTCAAATCAAGGTCAAAATATTGGGGCAGGAGCGAGGGAGTCGCTGCATCCAGATCCTATTTAGTTCTCACACCAGTCCTTTCAGTGGCCCTCTAACTAAATCCTGAATTCGCAAATGAATAGAATCAGAAAGCACCTGGTGCCCTGCAACTAGGGTCAAAGAACCCAAGTGAAACATGAACCAGATCCAGGATCCGTGTCACAGTCATGCCTTTCAAGTGATGCCAGGGAAAAACACAACTAAAAAGATGGCAGAGTGCACCGTTTCAGCTTAAATGTATTTTAAGTACCATATGAACATAATACTTGATGTCCTACTCCAGACTCTAGGTAGCAGGCAAAGCTCATTACAAAATGACTATGTTTTTATAATTTTTACAGAACTTATGATGCCTTTTATTTACCTGCAACTGTTACTATAGCTTGCAAGATGCTTTAAAACATGCTACATCAACAATCCTGACCACGAGCCCTTGGAGGATACTGCTGGTTAGGAGACCCGTCTCGGAAGTTCAGTGCCTCACACAGTCAATGGCTGGAGTGGGGGGGACGGAGACCCAGGTCCCCTCCCATGAATAACTCTTTAGTACCATGTTAATTACACTTCTCATTTCCCCCCAAATTCTTCTCTTTCAAACAAGTCACTCGGCCTGCCCTTCTCCTAATGCAACATTTTTCTCTCCCAAGCCTCTGCAAATTACATTCTACCTGGTCTTCCTAACCACCAACTCATTTTCTTTATAAACATTAGCATCAGCTAAAACTACTCAAGCCCTGAAAAAATCTCCCAGACAAACCTCGCTGCACTCTGATCACTTTTAATGCTCTGTTCCTTTTTTTCTGATACAGTCAACTGATGGGTCAGGCAGCCCCTGTTATCTGGCAAAGATAATCACCCTCCTTCCTTTCAGACTACCCCTTGCACAGACAACGCTTGGAGGAGCCTCCTAGGAGTGCGCCCAGCTGGCC